GCTCTCTTCTCCCTCGCCTCAAATGTCTTCTTAACAGACATTCTGCATACAAGACACTGCTGACTCACATCTTTCTAATCTGGAAGCCTGATCTCTCTGTTTAGCTCTAGAGTCATTCACCTCCCTGCTCACCTACAGGTGGATGTTCCACAGGCAGCTGAAGCTCCAAAAGTAGATAAGTGAACTTACCCTTCCTGCAGACCTGTTCCTCCTCCTGTGTTCCTTCATTTAGTGAGTGGTACCTAACATCTAACTCATTACTCAAAACAGAAACCTGGGCACCATCCCTGAATCCTTCGCTTTGACGCTTTACTCAGGATTGTTCACTGTGTCTTCCAGCTCAATCTCTATTCCTCCCCATCACCACTGCTCTCTGCCCTGGTTCAGGACACTGTCAATTACTGTAACTTGAATCCTGCAAAAGCCTTCTACTGATCCAACCTCTCCTCCCAAAAAATTTTCACTATGGTCAGGCTAAAGTGTTCTAATCAATTAATCGATCAATTTAATCAACGTAAATGATACCATTTCCCTCAGGCTAGAGGCCCAAATTTCTCAGTCTTGCTTTCCACACACTAATTCACCCAGTTAATTCCCAGTTTCCTTCTGGCCCAAACTTTAATATTATCTCTCCTCAGTCAGTCTTCTCTGACCCCTGAAGCCTGCCAGTCCCGTAACATCAAATGCTTAAGTTGCTACACTTACCATTTTCTATTAGATTCACTCATTTTCATCTATAAATGTGGTGAGGAAAAGTACCCTCTCTGTAAGTTCATCCCTCTCCTACCACTGGCTAACCTGGTGTTTGGAAAGGAATCTCAAATATTTACTAAACACATTAATAAATGAATTTCCCTTTATTGGATTATCTGGAGTCTCAATATCCTAAGTGAGAGAAATGAAAAAAAAATGTCCTGCACCTACCTAATATAAAAGCCACTCCATACCCCAGATAAATGGGAGAAAAAGGCCCCACACGATCTTTCTCTGATGCAAGGAGGAGACAGGCACCAACAAGCCTCATGACATAGCCAACGCCTGTGCCACTGTGACCCCCTAAAAAATGGGCTGGCAAGTCATGCTCATCATACCCCACCCTTCTCATCAAGAGAGCAAGTCCAAGGCAGGGGCCACTGCAGCTTTTCCCGTCCTCTGTGGTTCCTAAATAAGCTACTGCTTACCTGCTCTCCACCCCAGCAGGTGATACAGAAATATTTCAGTCACTCTCTCTACTCAGTATTTCCCTTTACATCAACAGACGTTTTCAAACAGATCCCAGCTTAGAAATGACGCTACAGTTTGTCTGTTTTTCTAATCTAGCAGATGACCCAACAAGACATTCTGGACAATAGCTGAGTGGAAATGCATTTGCAGAAATGCTCAAGTGTTATTGACAGCTGTGATAAACTGTGGTCGAAGCAACTAATAATTTCTTTAGAAGGAAAAAAAGCACAGGTAAAAGCTGGAAGGCAGTGAGATTAGGATGAGTTTAGCAAACATTCTGTTCCTAAACAAGCAAGTTCATAAGAAACAGCCAAGCGTAAGACAACAAGGGACAATGTTCTGCAATGGTAAGCAATGTTTAACCCTGCTTAAGCTCTGGGCAGAGAAAAATGGACCCTGGCACTGTCCTGGTTACTGTGAACAATCACACTCCACAATGACAGCATGTGCTTATTACATGACAGAAGACATGCCACAGACTTCAAATAAACTCAGATTTAAGACATATCACATTATCATCCCCATTTAACAGTTTAATTGAAGCAAAGAATTTCAGTAACAAGCTCAAAGTAATATAGCCACTAAGTGTGCTTCAAGTATCAGTTAAAATATTTTAAGTGTACCCAACATTTTAGGTTTTAAAAATCACTGAGGACTTTAATTATGACACTATTTCAGTTAGGGAGACTATGACCATAGATGAATCATGCTGAGTATTTAAGTGATTTGGAATTGAACACGTGAGTCTAGAGCAGATTATGAAATATCCAGTTATCCTGATGCTTACGGCATACCATACAGACTTTAATAAGAGGTTTAGTCTTCTCTTCAGTCAGAATTTTAACATTTCCAAAATGATGTATTATGTTCCTAATGCAGAATAACAAATACAGTTGGGAAACTATTTTAATTGTACATAGGAGGAACGAAGGAGAAATAGTGACATCAAGGTTGATAGGTCCTTCTGTTGCAGTATATGCTATTAGGAAGGTAAGTGGGACACGCTATCATTCCAGCCTGCACGACACACATGCTGCAAACCAGAGTGAGGGTATTACATTTGGATGAAAGGAGTGAACTCTTGCTCGAAGCTCCACTTTTGACATCAGTCTACTACTGAAATAAGGTTCCCTCAATGAGTTAAGCAGAAAGTTTCCCAGCAATCTATGTGCCAGAACCTCCAGAAGTGCTTTTGGGAGTTAGCTGCATTATTTATAGTGTTTGTATAGCAACTGAAAACACAGTCAAAAAGCACCTTGTTTTGTGAAGGAAAAATAATGAAGTGTTTCGTCCACAAGGAAACAAAATGTGTCAGAAAATACAGGAAAAAGATCTCTCTATGGAATACATTCTGTTGGTACTAAGTATCTGTTATCAAAGAAGTACAATACCCACTATGCCACAACACTTGCTGGTCACGGAAAGAGGGCACACTAGGCTGAAACGTCTCAGAGTGCCTTCCTGGCCTTCTCTGGCTACTGAGTGCTAGCATTCTGGCTTATCAAATTCACTACAAACTATTCGACTGTAATTTCCTTTCTATACAAGCCAAACCCCTAACTCAAAGCCAGATTTAAAAAAAAAAAATCAGAACAAGCAAAACCAGGAAAAGCTATTTCTGTCACAGTTCTGGGGGATGTATCTTTGAGAGTATGTCTTCATTAGTACCTTTTCTCAAACAGGCTAGATTTGTACTTGAAATAATAATTATATGAAAACAAGAAGAAAGTTAACAGAATCATCCATTATGTCTTTCTCTCTTTTTTTTTTTTTTTTTTTGAGGCAGAGTCTCACTCTGTCACCCAGGCTGGGGTGCAGTGGTGCCATCACAGCTCACTGAAGCGTTGACCTCCTGAGCTCAAGTGATCCTCCTGCCTCGGACTCTGAAGCACCTGGACTACAGGTACGTGTCACCATGTCTGGCTACAGACATCCATGATGTCTTGATTCCACTGTGAAAATTTTAAAAATTCGGATTCCAGTAAGTCATGAAGTGAGACAGAATATCTCATGAATACAGGGCATCTGCTTCTTTCACCAACTCTTAAAGTGAATTATATCAGGAATCAATGAGGAATCTCCAGAAACACCAGCCAAGTGTATTTACTTCCTTTGCTTCGGTCTCCAAGACACATGGTCTTTCAGCAAAGAACATAACGTATCACTCACTCCCTCTCTGACAAGAATTTAATCTTTATATCAACATCCCACACAGCAACTACTCAAAATTCAAAAATCAACATTTAAAAAATAAAAAACGAGGCTTCTCAAAGAACAAGTTGCCTTCTTTGTGGCAAACAACACTGATCCAATCCAAGGACGTTTTTGAGTGTCGAAAGGCCCTGTGCTTATGGATGCCACGACATCGCTGCATAACTTCCATCGCCAGGTGATCTGAATCTGCACACAGGTCCACTAACCCCTTTCAGATGAAATCCTACTGGCCCTCACTGAACTAAATCTCTATCTCAGTCTTGCTTTGTCCTTCTTGAGCTTGACATTGTTGGAAAGCTCAGGTCAGTTACTGTGCCAGGTTTCTCCACTGCCAAATTCATCAAAGACAGAGATCAACTGAGCAACTTTTCAGATTAAAGGGGTCTAAAGAGACATGACAACTTAATTCAATGTATGGTATATGGTAGTATATAGTATATGGTACTCTTATATACTATGGTAATATAAGAGAGTATCATTGTTTTTAGGAAATATACATTAAATTAGATGTAAAGGAGCATTATGGATATAACTTACTCAAGTGTTTCAGAAAAAGTCTTTAAGGGGAGTGACAGAGGCTGGCAAAACAAGTATTATGGTAACATTTGAGGACTACAAGTGAAGAATACATGGGAATACTTTGTACTATTTTTGCAACTTTTTTTTTTCCTAGTGAACATTACCTGTAATTATTTTTCCAGTCTAAAATTATTTCAAAATAAAAAGTTTTACCCAGGGCTTCAGAAGAAAATTTAAATAAGAAAAAATTTAAAAGTTTTTAAAAAGTGTGTAAGATTTATGCCCATGAATACAACAAACTTAATGTATTAAGGAGATGTGTGTGTGT